GCGCTATCCCGTGAAAATCATGGACTGGAGGTAAAAGGGAGCAGTGAGCCTTTATAGCAACAACAAAAGAACACCCCACTCAAAATAGTCAAAACAATTAAAAATTGCCAATGACCAAATCCTGACATCCTTATTCAGGAAAAACACGCTTTCTAATTAGAGTTAATGGGAGATTGCCAACATGAGGATCTCTGAATTTCCCCTTATCATTACAAAACGCAGACCTTGTCCGGAAACAGCTAAGACAAACATCCAACCATTTGGGCCACTGACCTTCAGGAGAGCAAGGACTGAAAATGACTCTTGTTATGTTTAACCCTGGGCCTGCTGCCAAAATAGCACTGCTAGGTCGAAGAACCAGTCATAGGTCTGATGTCTGCCATATCAGGACCTACCATGGCTGGAAAGGAGCTGATGGAACTTGCTCCCAGAACATCTAAGCCTGGTTGCACAGTGATCATAAAGCCAAAAAGAGGTGCCTCAGTTGCCGACGTTTTTTTTTTTTACTGCAAAATCTTGTCCTGTCCTCTGGTCACAAGGAAGCCAAAACACTTTTCAGCTGAGAAAAAAAACCCACCCTGGCTTCCTAGATCCAGCTTAATTAAAACTGTCCCCCTGCACTCAGCCATGTTAACACAGGCCTCTGCATTTATAGGAAACACCTTTTGATTTCAGGGGGTTCCACTACCAGCCTTTGTCAGCTAATACAGAGTGCAAACGTGCCCTTATTCAGCCTGCAAGACAGATTTTCACCTTGGTGGAGAACTACTCTCACACTGTGGATATCCACAGTGTTCACTTGGACCTTTGTAGTTTCCAGCTCTTTGGCAAAAAGGTATTGCAGCAACTACACGATAAATAGTGTCTGGACAAGCAGATTCCCTTTTTTAACATCATCAAACATATCAGGAGAAGAACTAGTTGCAGGGAGATTAAAAAAAAAGAAATCTTAATCAGGATGCTAAATAAATTCAGCAAAATCCTTTGGCGCACACCCCAAGCACGCAGCCAGGATCAACCAGCGTCTCTCCCTGCCTTCAGTACGATTATGATGGTTTGCATCAGCTGAAGGAGAATTTACAGAAGTTCCTGCCGAAAGACGCCTCCCTCCTCTGAGCCGCAGACTTGCAAGGACTGTTTCCTGATCTGACCAGCTTGGGCAAATTGGCTCTCTTTATGTTTTCTGTTAATTGTCTCAAGCTGCCTGGCCATAGTGTTTATTTCTACTGACCTTGGTTAAAACACCTTAGCAGGAGGCAAATATACTTACTACAGAAGTGGATCAAGCTGCACAGCCCGTGCGTCCTGTATTAAATTGCCCACACTTCACAGGCTGCTAGTTCATCTCTAGTTATCTACTTATAGAAAAAAAAAAAAAAACACACTACAAGCCCCATAACAAAAAACAAATAAAACCACAACAAACCAAAGGTGTCTACATTGCAGAAGCCAGCAACATAAACCACAGAAAGCAAAAAGCAAGAACCCATTCACACACCTTGCTAACCGAGGGGGTTGAGTGCCTCACACCCTAGCCCTTTTCAGCCACAGCTGCCTCCGCTCCAGCTCGCTCTGCCCACACACCCCACACCTTCCTCCGAAGCACCAGCAGCTGCTCCTTGCAGGCTGGGCTTCCTGGGCCTTGCTGCAGATTTGGTCCTGGGATAAGCTTTATACTGGAGGAGGAGCCAGAGTAGAGCCACCTTCCCTCCTCCTCCGTAGGTGTTGCACACAGAGTTGTCTAAAGTCCCCAAGGTAGGCTTTGGTCATGGTCAGATTATAAATGCTGACTTGGGAAATGCCTTATTTGTAATGCTGCTGAGGAAAACTGCGGCAAACAGGTGGCATGGCTGCTAACTAGTGACCCAAAGCCACGTCCCTCTGAGCCCCCTGATCTTTCAGCTTTGCTATATGTGGATGGAGGAAGAACTTTTATTTGCCGTGAGTTAAGTGAGTCTCTGCTGCCAAGGTGAAGCTAATCATTACAGAGCCAGTGTGGGAGGAGCTGAGGTCCTCAACACAGGTTGACCCATGTCCCTTCCTCTTCTGCCGCAGTGGAAAGGTTTCAGCTCTTCCTGCACATGGTCTCTTGAGGGCTTGAACCACTTTGGTTACCTGTAGTCCTTCCTCTTTATTACCCGCATTAGCAGCAGGGCTAGATCTTCTGTTTGCCAAACACTTGCCGGGACCAGTTTACCTGTTGCGTCCAGTTTGTTCTTGCCTTCCTAGGAAAAGCCTGTTGTGCACTTGGCCATTTACCTACTTTGCATCGGGAACTGTGCCGTGATGTGGCCCAGTGTCTGGAGCCACCAGTGAGTGATGCTGTTTGGGATTACAGCACAGAAATCACTGGGGGTTTAAGATTGTACAGGTCTGAGGTGATCTTCAGATGAAGCCCTCAGAAAGGTGAAACTTGACCCTACAGGGCTATGTTTGCATTTGTGACTAGCCTAGTGACTCCACTTCTGCTGAAGGTATCCATCTTAGGGCTGGTCAGATAGCAAAAACTTTCCTGTCCTGATCACACATTTTTTAAATGGGAACCTGAACTGCACGGAGATGCCCGACTCCATTGGCGTAGCCTTCTCTGGATCCCTGCTTGAACAGGGCATTGCCACGTGCGGTGACTGCAGCTTCCCAAGAGTCCTCTGGCAGTAGATGGGCTTTAGCCATTTTTAGGGCCTTAGAGTCAGACAGGAGGAGAGCCAGCCTGTTTTACTGCTGGGGATCAACTCTTCCTTAGAGTGTGCCTTATTTCGGAGAAAGGTGCAAACTGACAAACCCAGACTGCATCCCCACCCCTCTAACTCTAGCTGTGCAAAGAAGGAGGGATTTAAGCTGAATTGCAGCCATTAAGAAAGATCAATCCATTCGGATATCCCCAAAGCTTCAGGTACATTTGGCTACAGTGCTCCACTGGGACTTAGCTGTGAGCATTCACAGTAACACAGCAAGGATTTTGCTGCCACTCCATTCCTTTACCCTTACCTTGGCTCCCTGCTCACATTTGTTGGCAAATACATGGCATATAATGCTTCCTCGCCTGTCTCTTTCAGAACATAGTATGTATTTAAATTTTTAAACCTGTTTTAATTGTGGCGGTTTGCCTCTGGGATTTTTTTCTGTTAAAAAGAACTGGGGATACCTGTGTTTCGTGTGAGGTTTTAATCTGGAACGTGCGGTGGAGGGGGCGTGTTTTGCGTCACTCAGCCTGGAGTACAGTTATGAGGGGTGTCTGAAACGTCTTCACAGCATGGTGCAAAGGACAATTTGATCCAGGGGGCTAACACGCTGTGGAGTCAAGCCCCAGCCACCTGGCAGGGACATGACACAGGTCCCCCAGCCCCCCCTTCCCCAAACCACACGGTAGCTGCATCCAGCTCTGGGCTGCGTTTTCATACAGAGACCACCCGACGGACGTGATTTGCTTGTGCTACCTCTCCTACCAGCTAGAGAACGTGAAGACCCGAGATGAAAGAGGTATTTGGATGAGCAGGGCTGGAGGCAGCCACGAGGGTGGCGGGAGGCTGAGCAGGGCAGACCTAAAGGGGCAGAAAGTGCCCTCCTTCGGTCTCCATCCGGACTCAGGAGCAAGGAAGGAGAGCAGAAAATCCATGGATGTTTCTGAGCTGCTTACTTCAAGCAGCCATAGGAGTACAGCAAGCCTTATGCCTGTTATCTCCCCCACCGGGCTGTCCCTGTGGCCTCTTCAGGTTCGATTTATTTAAATGGAAGGTGGATGGAGCTTTGTTCACAGCACACCGTGTCACAGGTCTGGCGGTGTTTTGTTGCAGAGCAGCTTAGACCGCCTTTGGGGCACTTTAGCAAATGAAATGTTTGCCTCTTGGTCACTCACCGGCAGGAAATGGCTGATCCAGCACTAGTCGTTGCTGTCAAAAATCATGCCAATAAAAACAGAGGAGTAAAGTAGCTGGCTGAAAATAGAGATAGGCCCAAGTGAGCAGCTGGATCTATATGTCATGTGAGCCTCCATCACTGCAGTGGGATTACACAGATGCCAGATGCTAAGCAAAGCCCTCTGGCCATAAAACAAGGCTATAGAGGTGTTTTCCACCAACTCCTGACGTTCAGCCGGCTTCAGGTTTTTCTCCTATAAGTCTCTGAATTAGTCTCTTCACAGGTAGCAGTAGGACATTTCTTTGGCCAGAAACTTGAAGCTCTAATTGGCTCGGTACTTAATTCCTTTCTTTGCAGGCTTGCAGCGGTTGCAATCATGGCAGGTCTATCGAGTGTTTTCTGTCCGCTGAGGGACAGGCAGGTGAAGGGTCTGGCTCTCAATTCTTCTGGCTTGTCATTTTTATCAGGCTGTGTCCTCCCCCTTGGTCATTACAGGATAAGAAAGGCATTTTACTGTATTTTCTCAACCTTTAGCTTGTCCATCATTCCATGAGCAGTCTGCAGCAAAGAAAGAGAAGAGATAAACC